ATGGTGTATTATTTTAAATTAATGGATGATTGTTTCAAAAATGCATGAATTGCGTATAAAATACAATTAATTATATCTTATTTATGAGAAAAGAAACTTTTCAATTTTAAAATTGATTATATTTTACTTTCAGTCAACAATGTTAGAGCATCTCTAATGATTTGCCAATGGAACTGTTATTGCCGAATTATAGCAGCAGTTCAAACCAAACCAAACCAACCAAGCCTTAAGTCTCATCAAATAGGGTCGGCCACATAAATTCTTCTTCTCCACGCAGCCCTATCAAAGGTCATTTCGTTAGTCAAATTAAATATATCCATATCTCTATTTACAACGCTAACCAACGTTAATTTAGGCTTACCCCGTCCCCTAACACTTCCATCTACAGTTACAGCATCGCATCTCTTCACTACTGTCTCTATTGGTCTCCGATGAATATGACCAAACCATCTCAATCGATTCTTTCTCAACTTATATTCTATCAGTGTTACTCCAACCCATTCTAGAATACATTTATTCCTAATTCTGTCTTGTGTAGTCTTGCCACACATCCACCTCAGCATCCTCATTTCAGTCACACTCATCTTATCTACATGTTGTTTCTTGGTTGCCCAACATTCCATCTCATACAACATCGCTGATCTAATAGTCGTTCTATAAAACTTACATTTTAGTCTAGCGTGTATTCGTTTATCGATTAAAAATGATTTAATCAATAAGTTAAATTATACATGTTTGATTGACAAATTTGTAATTAAAAAAACGAGTTGTTCACTTTTTGTTCAGTATTTCAACTTGAATTATTATTATTTTTTTAATTGTAAATAAATTTTAATAATTATATATAGAAGTAATTTTTTCCTAAACATGGTTAAATATTTTTTTTTAAATACATAATATTTTAATTATAATTTTTTTTAAAAAAATATATGAGAGATCCCATATTAAGAATGCGTTTTGGACTGCAAAAATATCCGAGCTGGTCTTGATCACTCTATTGGACTTGCACACTCCTTAGAGCGTGGCATATGATAAAAGAAAGTTGAAATTTTATTTTAATTACATAAATTGTCTTCTTCCTAAAATAATAATAATAAAAAAGAACTTTTCACTTGCAACAAAGACTGTCCAATTTCATCAGCAAAAAAACAAGAAAAAAGGAAAAGGAAAGCAAATGATGAGAAAGGGACTATGGATAATGATCCTAGTAAAGATTAAAATAAAAAAACCAGTTATCATATCGGTGCGTAGCCCCAACTAGCATATTGAGATGGACATGTTATAAAGTTGCAGCCACCGTGATTCACACACTTTTTCATTGTTTTTTCTTTTCTTTTTATTTTATTTCAGTACCTATTTCAAAGATCAAAAAACCCCATCACTATTATCCATTTGTATTAGAAGTTTATATAATATCTCATAGATTAGAAAATGACAAAAACTAATACATTTCAAATTTGTAGATTTCAATAGCAATAACTTGCTTGGTTTTACTTAATTCATTTCTTACATTACAATTATAATGAAGGCCTTGTACAACATGTATCAAACATGGTAGAGCTAATGATATCTACAGACAAAGCAATTGAATCTCACTTTGCCTATGAAGCCCCATGAGAGATAAGCGTGTAACACTAATATCTAGGTTTGTGACAATAACTTCTTTCCCAAATACATGAATCCTTGACAATTTTTATTCAAGGAAATATGAACACTCAATTCTTCACAAGTTGAGCTAAGGTGCCCCCATACCAATGAAAGCAATAGTCACATGAGAAGCTAATTTAACTCACCTTGGACTGCTGGACAAGAGACAAGGTTGGCCCCATCCCTCCCCTTTTGCACGGCTTCATTGGTCAAGGACACACAAGCCACGATGATTCTCTGGACTACTAACATATTTTCTCATCACACACTCGCTCCAAGACATTCTCTTCTAATGTTACTGTCCTTATGCTCCATTTACTGCTAATTTCAATCACCCATTACCAGTCAAACTTGATCATAATAACATTCTTTTATGGTGAGCTCAATCATGACCTCAAAAGATACAAAAATGGCAGTCACCCTTACCCGCTTTGTCTCATTCAATCCACTTCTTCACCTACCTCTGCTTGAAATGAAAACTGATATCCCACCATTGCCAGCTTATGTTGCCTGAAAAAGCAAGATCCATTGCTTCTGAGTTCGATGCTCATCCTTACTCATCAGTGTATCAGTCCAAACATTTTCTTTCTATTGAAAAAATCAATTCACCTGCCACAATAGTAGCTCTTTTATCACTGAATCAAATATATGGCGTGTATCAAAAATTTATGTAACCAGAAAACCCTCTTCCATGGTAAAATCATTGTCTGATACGTACCCAACCTTCTTCATTTTCACATGAAGATCACGAATTAAAGAATAAATAAGATTAGCTTTGCTATGTGATTTATCACCAACTACAAACACATGAACCTTGTTTCCGACATCAATCCAGCTACAACCCGGCTGCTTCTTCAACCCCTTGTCCTTCATTTTCAACCTAAGTTTCGCAGCTTCTCTCTATTTCCCACTTGAAGCATATATGTTAGACAGCAACATATAAGTACCTGCATTTTCTGGCTCTAATTCGAAAAGTCTTTTTGCAGCCAATTTCCCCATATTTGTGTTCCTGTGAACATAACATCCAGTAAGAAAAGCCCCCCAAACAGAACCAGAAGGCTCAATTGGATGCCGCTGAATAAAATCAAAAGCCTCCTTGACCCTCCCCGCTCGACCACAGAGATCAACCAAGCATGAATAGTGATCTTCTTGCACTTGTATTGATTTGTCTTTTATGAGCTCGTCAAAGTACTTCAATCCCTCGTCCACCAAACCAGCATGGCTGCACGCTGCAAGCAACCCCACATATGTAACATCATTGGGTTTGATTCCTAAGTTCAGCATTTCTTTGAAAAGGCTGATTGCCTCACCGCCACATCCATGGTGAGCATAGGCTGCAATCATTCCATTCCATGAGATCAAATCTCTCTGGCCTGCAAATCCATCATCGAACACTTTCCTAGCAGTACTTTGTAGAAATTTAATGTATAAAGAGAAATAGAGAATTGTATAGATATTGATTGTATTATTGATTGATGTATGAATATGTTTACAATGATTCCTATATATAGAAGAGTAGAGTAGGTAGGTAGGTAGTAGGTGGAGTAGGTGGTAGTAGGTGGTAGTGGTAGTGGTAGGTGTGTAGTAGGTGGAGTAGGTGGTAGTGGTAGGTTTTAACAGCCCCCCGCAAACTCAAGGAGGATAGACACAAATCAACTTGAGTTTGGAAAGGGTAACAAAATAAGAAAATACATAAAAATAAAAGAGGATAGGAGACACTGTATGGTCGTGTCAGACCATTGGTGAAGACACTGTATGGTTGTGTCATAACGTTGTAGAGGACACTGTATGGTTGTGGCAGACCGTTGTAGCAGATAAAGTCTGGACAATTGACGAGGTCATGTCAGACCGTTGTAAAAGCTAACCGGAATCAATGTCGGGACAGTTTATGGGGTCATGTCGGACCGTTGGAAAAGCTAACCGGAATCAAATGTCGGGATAGTTTAGGGGGTCATGCCGGACCGTTGGAAAAGCTAACCGGAATCAATGTCGGGACAGTTTTATGTGGTCATGCCGGACCGTTGTAGAATACACTGTATGAAGGTGTATATAGGCTGCCCAAATATATATACATGGATATATATATCGAGCCCTCAAAAGTCGCGCCCTCAAAAGGCGCGCCCACTTCATCAAAAGTCGTGCCCAACAGAAATCATCGAGCGACGAGCCATCAAAAGGCGCGCCAGACACGCGGCGATGCACGTGATCGACAGAGCGCGTGTCGTCCTCTTCGTCATGGTCTTTATAAACCGAAGCGGAGGCGGAGGCTTGGAAGCATAACAAACCAGTTGAAACCTCTTCGTTCTCTGAGAGCTTGTCTCTAAGAGCTGCAAATCTTGAAACACTCTGTAACCAACCCTTTCTGACAGTACCAGTCGGAAATCGCTGCTTCTCTGAAACACTCAGCAACCCAAAACATGGCCTCGTCTTCCCGTGGTCTGCTCACTCTCTTTCCAGACCTTAACGAGTCCACAAGAGAGATAACTGGTGCGGTTGCCCTGGAACCTTAACCAAGCGCATCTGGTTTTGCTCCGTTGAACTTTCCGATGCGGTCTGTGGAGCAAAGAATGGCAATGCAATCGGATGTTGAGGCCAATCAGTATACATTGAAGTCATGTGTGGAGACCATGACGGCGGTCACAAACTTGTCGCACCGGCTTCAGAGTAGGACAAATGAGGTGCAGCAGTTAAACGCCCAACTGGCTCTGCTCCAGCGCATGTATAAGGAGGCGCGAGCAGAGATAAGTGTGTTAAAGGCGGAAAATAAGGAGCTGAAGCGGAAGGCCACCGTTATGTTCCGATTTGGAGGTCCGCCATATGCTGCAGTGGAAGAGCAGGGGGGAGTGAACATGCTCGGTGGACTAGGAAGCACTGAGACCGGACTGGCATGGGACACCCAAGATAAAAATAAGAAGAAGAGACCTGCAGTGGAGTAGAGAAGGGAAAAGAAAAATCCCACCTGTGGGTGGTTTTTGTTGGTTTGTTTTGTTTTGTTTTTTTTTTTTTTTTTTTTTGTTTTTGTTTTTGTTTTTGTTTTTTTTTTTTGTGTGTGTAGAGTGGGTCACATGCGTGACACGCACAGAATACATGGAACACAAGAAAGAGAAGTTCGATGTAGCGCACTGACAGAAACAGAGAGGTAGTGGGAGAAAATAAAGGATAAAAGAAAATAAATTTGAAGAGAGGTATGGGAATGGTAAAGTAATAAAAAATAAAAAAGGAAAGGTGAGATGCAAAGTTGGGCGGATCCTACCACTAATGGAAAAGTAAGCAAAATATATATACTAATGAAAAGTAATCAAAATATATATATGTGGGTGTGTGGGTCTGGGTGGAAGGGTTGATAAAAAGGGTCAAAGAGTACATGGATTGTGGATTCTAAGTGTGTGCATAATAATAATAAAATGAATGAGTGGAGAGAGGGTTTTATGTGTAAATAAAAGAAGGGTGGTGTTTGGAATATTCCCTTTTGAGGCACACCAAGCCCGAGCCTTTTTATCAGAAACCAATCTATTATTTCCACCATCCACATCAATCTTGTTGCCTATAACAACAAATGGGAAATTTTCTGGATCTGAAGGGCTTGCCTGAATAAGGAACTCTTCCCTCCAATTGTTTAGATTGTCAAATGACTTCATCACATTTACATCATATACAAGAACACAGCAATCAGCACCGCGGTAGAAAGCGACACCTAGACTTTGAAATCTTTCCTGGCCAGCTGTATCCCAGATTTCTAAAGTGAAGAGCCTATCTTCAAACTGCACTTCCTTGGTCAAAAAATCAGCTCCGATGGTCGCCTTGTACTGATTGCTAAACTTCTTGTTCACATATTGATTCATCAAAGAGGTCTTTCCCACCCCGCTGTCGCCGAGGATTATGACCTTGAGAAGCGTTCTTCTACGGGAAGGCATGGTGAGAGTGCGAATCAGCTGAGAGAAGCACCCGATCCAGAGAGAGGCTGTTGTTTGGCAACGATCTTTGAAACATTATTGTTCTTAAGTGCATCTTGACTATTCATTTCCAACTTACGTTGCACACCTATTGTTAGAGACACATGGGATTTGGCAGGAGGAAAGTTGTGTACTGGCCTTGATTTAGTCCCAGAATACCTCCCAACAGACTTCTGCTCAAAGGCACCCCTTGTTCCAACAGATAGAGGTGTTCTAGTGACAGCAGTTTTGGAGCGAAGAGATAGTGGAATGTAAAAGCAACTCTGGAAGAACGGATGCGGGAGGGCCTCCAAGGCTGTTGGCCTCTTGCAAGGATCCCAGGAACAAAGTGATGTAATAATATTGATTGCATCCTTACTAGCAGATGGCATCACTCACTGGCGGCGGAAGCGGCCACGGAGGACCGAAACTGGGAGGTATGGAAGACATGTTATGTGCTTAGTTTTCTCATCGTCCGCGCGGGCAGCCAAGGCGAGGCTGCCGCCCGCCGGTGAAGCGAAATTACTAGGTTGTTAACCTTGCTCTGATACCATGTAGAAATTTAATGTATAAAGAGAAATAGAGAATTGTATAGATATTAATTGTATTATTGATTGATGTATGAATATGTTTACAATGATTCCTATATATAGAAGAGTAAAGTAGGTAGGTAGGTAGTAGGTGGAGTAGGTGGTAGTAGGTGGTAGTGGTAGGTGTGTAGTAGGTGGAGTAGGTGGTAGTAGGTGGTAGTGGTAGGTTTTAACATACTTAATTCTCCACACATCGAGTACATATTTATAAGTGCTGATATCACAAATGCACCATTTTGATGTACTGTCTTGCAAATTACCTAGTGAATTTGATGTCCTTCGCTAAGACCAGCTAAACTACTACAAGCAGCCAAAACACTTACGAAAGTTCCCTGATTTGGCTTTACGCCATTGGCCGCCTGCATTCTTGAGAAGATTCTTAACGCCACTTCACTTTGACCATCTTGGATGTACCCAGTAATCATGGTTGTCCAAGAGATGACATTCTTATCGAGCATTTCATTGAATAACTTATCTGCCTTCTTTAAATTCCCATTTTGGATAAACCCTGTGATAATTGCATTCCACGAAGGAATATCCCTCTCCGGCATCCTCTCAAACAATTCAAGTGCTTCTTCCAACCTTAAATTATTTGTATATCCTGTAATCATAACATTCCATGAAACCACATTTCTTTCTGGCATTATGTAAAAAGCACCCGAGCTTCGTCAATCCTCCCATTTTTTGACAAACCATCAATCATCGCAGTCCAAGAAATTACATTTGTTTTGGGCATATAATCAAAAAGCTTCCTAGCCTCCTCAATTCTCCCATACTGACCCAACGCCATTATAACTGCATTCCAAGAAACCAAATTGCTCTCAGGCATTTTCTCAAACAGACTTAATGCTGAATCTATTAGATTACTTTGCAAATACCCATTAATCATAGTGTTCCAAGAAACCAAATTCTTGTGAGACATCTCATAAAATAGCTTCTCTGCCTCTGAAATCTGATTCATTCGTATGTACCCACTAACCATAGCAGTCCAAGTGACCACGTTTTTCTTAGCATCCACTCTATCAAACAAATTCCTTGCTTCTCTAATCATTCCGCGATGTATATAATCCGAGATAACACTCGTCCACGCAATCACATCTGGGTCAGGCATTTTATCAAACAATTGGCGTGCTTCAACAATTTGACCCTCTCTACATAGCTTCGTGATCATCCAATTTGTCTGTTTCACGCTTTGATATACGAAACTATCCATTTTGGGTATCGATAATTCGGCAGTTCTGAATTGATTTGCTGAGTGATATAGATAGGATTAAGATTCCCATTGAAGCTTGAGATTGCATAGTGTAAGTGCAAGAGTTCGAATAAACCTCAAAAGGGGATATATTGTAAAATCTCTACCATGTCTCAAAGCAATTGAGAGCCTAGAAAATGATTGGATAGATGACATAAATGCAACGAAGCAAGTGGTTTGAACTCTGTAACGGTCATCAACGGTATTATTACTCCATGAAGGGGCTAAATGTGAAATGGGTCAGGTCCAGGCCTTGGGCCGGCCCAATCCACTGAAGTCCAAATTCAAGTGGGTTGGATGAGTATATGGGTAAACTAATTGAGCCCAACTTCATGATCAACAGTCCACCCAGGTCCTCAAGCACTTGGGCCCAACCCGCAGTGGAAAGGCTAGTCCAGCCGTGGTGCTGGGCTGGGCCGAGTTGCGAGACTGAACCTATGGGCTGAATAGAAAATAGGCCGAGCCCATACAAAGATATCCGAATGGATCAGCCCATCTCCATGAATGATCTTGTAAAAGGCCAAGACAAGGCATAATGATGTCGAACTGAGGCACAGCGTTACCGAGCTGAGGAAATCTCGCAAGGAAACGTGGAAGCTGTGAATGTGTGCATGTGCAAGTTGCCACCTCAGCTGGTCCCCTACACCTAGAATCACGGAAGTTGTTGAACCAAAGGAATGTGGTTTGTTATCAGCATGACTACAATGAGTATATGCATTCAATGACAACTATCAGGTGGTCCCCCACCTTAAGCAATGCTAAAAGGACACCTGGCAGCATCCAAGCTCCATGAACCCACCTTAAGAAGCAAGCAAGGAACACTATATATACAACATGAACTTCACATTAAAGGTAACTGAACTATTTGAAGCACAATCACACTTAGATACAAACCCAACTCGATATACACTCCTTCTCCGATCACTGATTCCCATACCGGAGGGTTATCCTACCAACCCCGGCCTGGCAGCTCTAACGGTGCTTCTTGTGGCAGGAACCTCAGTCCTTGGATAGTCCAACTGAGTGTAGGGTCCCGATCCACTTTCATCTAGTGCGGAATCCGGTACGCACAATTGGTGCGGTGAGCGTGGATTACTTCATCTCTAAGCTTTGCGCTCAGTTCCAGCGATGGGGATTGAGGACATTCCGCCTTCAGCACATACCCCACAGACGGAGAAGAAAAAGGAAAAAGGCTTGGCACTCCCAACAGTTCTGGAAGAACAAACCGGAAACAACAACCGGATCTCTGAATCCGTCGAGCATCGATTACCCTTCGCTGGAGGTTCTTCTCATCACTTTCTTCTAGAAAAGGATTACAGGGATCGAATCATAGACTCCATGGGGATAGAGATACAGGAGCTAAAAGCCCAACTTAAGTGGTTGTTGGGCGATCCGACGGAAAAGAAGACGGAAGCGGAGCCCTCTCGTTTGCGACGGAGGAGCTCATCCAAAGAGCTACCAGTGAAGAAGTTCCCCAGGAATGAGTCTGGGCAACAAAGCCAGCCTATCCCGGTACAGAGTGAGGCAGCAAGTGTAGACAGGCCCGCGGGGACCTCGCTACAGCTCGGACTCGATTCGTTAGTCACGGTTCTAAGTCTGAACCAAAGAGTCCAAATCCGGCAAATCGTTTTGTGAAAACTGATTTTTTGAAAGAAGTGCCAAACATGGACTGCTTTGCCAGATACAGAGTCGCCACCTAAATATTTTATTTTGGGAAATTTAGGAAACCCTGACTCGGTGCCAAAAGGCCACGCGTCCGTCATCACCAAAGTTGCCTCGGCTCGGGAACTTGGGTACGATTGGGGAAGGTCACTTCGTGAGCACCCCCGCTCGCCCGATCAAAGATCGGCCTCTACTAACCATGATATCTAGTTTTGAAAACATTATGCGTTCTTATTCCGGTTATTAGCCTAGATTTACTATGTGATGCGCACAGCATACAAATATAGACCGAGTCGCCTAAATTGGAACGAAACATTTCATGCTTGTTTTTGAAA